CATGTTCGAGGACGTGACACTGGGCCAGGTCAAGGAGCTGATGCGGTTTATGGGCAGGACCGCCCACTCTTTGGCCCTGGACAACGTGGACCTGAACGACAAACAGTTCTACGGAATGCTGGGCGTGCTGCCCCATCTCCACTCGCTGTCGCTGAAGCGCTGCCTGCCGCTCTTCATGTCCGGCTCCTTCCTGGACTCGTACAACAACTCCTGCCCTGACCTGAACGACCTGGCCAGCAATTTGGCCGGAATCAAGGAGCTGACGCTGTGCGAGAACCAGTACCTCACCGACGCCATTCTCATGCGTCTCACCTCGTTTATGCCCAGCCTGGAGACGATCAACATGTCCGGCTGCCACATAGCCTTTCACAACGCCATCCATCGGCGTTTTTACCCGGCCAACAGCTCCTCGGATCACGTTCTGCCCAGCGAATCAGTGCTGACCTTCAAGTTCATCCTGACCATCCTGAATCTGCAGCGTCGCACGCTGCGCGTCTTGGACTTTAGCCACACGCTGATTGGACAGGCTCTGCTGGCCCTCTGCGACCTAAATCTCCAGCTGCAGCGGCTTTATTTGGCCGGATGCCGGCAGCTTAACTGCTCGACAATCCGGAACTTCCTGGCCACACAGCCGCAGCTGAGTGCCCTCGATTTGTCGGCCACGATGTGCGTGAACGATGAGAATCTGGCTGCCTTGGTGCAAACTAATCCGCAACTGGAGCACTTGAAGGTCAACGGCTGCCTGAGCATCACAAATGCTGGCGCCATTCACCTGGCCAAGCTGAAGCGTCTGAAAAGCCTGGACATCTCGAACTGCGACGGCCTAACAAGCAGCGGCATAATCGAGGGCGTAGCCAGCGAGGAGAACCATGTGATTCAGGAGCTAAACGTGTCCTATTTGCAGATCTGCGAGGAGTGCATCAAGGCCATTGCCAGTAATCTGCGCAGCCTGCGATCACTGCACCTAAATCACTGCGTTAATGGAGCCACCGATGAGGCCATCCAATCGGTCATCGGACAGCTGCGTTGGTTGCGGGAACTCTCACTGGAGCATTGCAGTGGGGTAAGTCAGAATTAGAGCCCTGCATGATTATATTCAATGAATTATTTTGAATTTTTTGTTTTATATGAATGAATTAATTAGAATTCTGAGTTTAATAGAATTGAATGAATTCGAATGTTGAGTTTAATAGAATTGAATGAATGAATTAATTAGAATTTTGAGTTTAATAGAATTAAAAGTATGAATAGCATGAATTCCGAAATAATTCAAACGATAATTTCTTTTGAAGAAGAAAGGTCCATCATTTTGTGATTAAACATTGACTTGTTAAAAATTTTTTACTTTTTGATTTTAAAAGAAAGCACAAAAAAAATCTGGCAAATTCAATAAATTTATAAAAATTATTCATTCATTCATTCAATTTATTTCACATAGAATTGATTTAAACAAATAAAAAATTTCATGGCATACGATGAAAAAATCAAAAATTTAATGATTCACGCAGGGCTCTAGTCAGAATATGGCGATAAATTGAATGTATCTTAAGTAAAACGTTCTTACTTCCATTTAGCTAACAGATGCAGCTCTCACGGGCATAAACATATCCAAGCTGGAGCTCAGTCGCAAGCAGTCAGGTTCAGGCTCTCAGGTGTCCTCGATGGACAACTTCTACCCGCCGTACAGCAACACAATGGCGGAACGCGACAGTTTGGCGGGATCGCTGCAGTCCATAAAGATATCGCTTAGGAGCAAGGCCGAGGATGAGATTGTGCGGGATGCGAGGCGAAAGCAGGCAATGATGGCTGCCTACGAAATGAACCTGATCCGCGAGGATGACTTCGAGGGTCACAACATACAACAGTTGCGGGGTCTGCGTTCATTGAATCTGCGCGGCTGCAACAAGATCAGCGATGTATCTTTAAAGTACGGCCTAAAGCATATTGAGCTAAGGAAGCTGATGCTCTCCAACTGTCAGCAGATCTCGCTGCTCGGCATGGAGGCAATGGCCAGCAGTTGTCCATCTATTGAGGAGCTCGACCTTTCCGATTGCTACAACATTACGGACAAGACAATCCAGGTGGTCACAGCCAAGCTGCCTCGCCTGAGAGCTTTGCACATCAGCGGCTGCAGCCAGTTGACGGAGCACACGCTGGACGCCATTATCACGAATTGCAACTGCTTGCAAACGCTGTCCATTTACCGCTGCCGCAGCATGTACACGGATTTGGAGGAGCGGCTGTCTGGGGTAAAGACGTTGCGCAACCTCAACATGGACAATCTGACCAGTATCGACAACGCCGAGTTCTTCCGACTGAAGAAACGACTCGATTACTGATATTTCGCCGCAATTTTCATTGTCCTGATTTTGTACTACTTTCAGCTGTACAACTTCCGCTAGTCAAACGTCTCACACATATTTATTTTTATCGAACAGCCGCCAGCAGCTGGGCTATAGTTGTGAAAGCTTTAGTCAAATATACATGCATATATACGGCAGATATAGATGTATTTGCAAATACAATAAAATTTACACTAACCGCGCACATTTAGATTAGGAAAATTACAAGTCTCGATTGTAATTCTATTAAATTTCATACATAACGTTTGTCCACATTCAACTGTGATTTATGTAAGGTACATGACTTGTAAATTATGTGATCAGTTGCCTAAATTTAAATTGATTTCGTTATTGTTGCGTGTTAAAATTGAGTTGATTCGTTAATAGTTGAAAGTTTGTTAATTCGGTTTAAGTAAGAAAGAAGAAATCAGTTATTGTTATTGTAAGTTAACATTTTTCAAAAAACTGTCACTCCTTATTAGCTTTAAACGATACAATCGTTGCTAACATAAAAGAATTTGAATCGTTAGCTTTGTAAATAAAAACAAAATACATTGAACAAAATAGTCAAATTTACATTGAAAGAATATGCGTCTTTGCATACGATCTATAAACGACATAGAAACTAAGCAAGTGACTGTTTTTACAACATTAAATAGAACTAAACAGATTTGCTCTCTTTGTGTAAATAATTCTACTAACCATCTATGGTTTTTGAGACTTAAAGCAAGTAATTCAACGTTTACTAAATACCAATTGATGTTAATTGTCCACTCAAAAACGGGAATAAATAAAATGTCGATGCCACATACAATGGTCGTTCAAAATGAATAGATTTATTTTAAAATGAGTTAAGAACATTTGTTGTTATACGTGCTAGAATCGTCATCAATATCATTTTGGAAACAGGTCGTTCGCCTACGATTGTGTAGGATATTGCTTAAAATACATTGCTAAAGTTGACTAGGTAAAAATTCCAGATGTTTTGTCAAAAGTACCGATACAAAAGTGGATCCCAAGAGAGAGATCCTTGGACCGTCCAGTGCCAGTGTGATTGTTGTGCCCAGAAAGCAGACGACGTATAAGGTGGTCAGCGGTGCCTAACCACCGCCGCCTCCGCCGGAAAGCTCATCCTCGTATTGTTTGCGGAAGCAGTCGCCCACGGGGAAGAAGTCCCAGCTGCGCTGCTGGTACATGTTCCACACGTACGTCTCCTGGCCGGTGTACTCCGTGTCCGGCTTGTTAATCAAATGCATCAGGAAGAACATGTAGTTGGCCAGGTTGTGCTCCTTCTGGACGTGCGTGTCGAAGCCGTGCGGTACTATGTCGAAGAAGTCCTTGCCCATTCCGCAAATGAAGCAGTTGGACTCCATGTTGTCCTTCACCGACTCCAGCTGGTCACGCAGCTCGCCGAAGGCGTCGATGATCAGACCCTGGATGATGGCCAGCAGGATAATGATCACGAAGAAGAAGAACGTAATGTCGAAGATGATGCGATACACCTCGTAGTCGTCTCCATCCGGATCCCCGATCTCGTCTCCTATGCCACCGCCCGCTCTCACACCCTTGTACAGGTGGAACACGAAGCAGGTGAGCATGTCGTGGCACTTCTTGTCCACCTCCTCGTCCTCCTCCTGGATGTAGAACTTCCTGAAGAAGTTGAACGCAATCACCGTGTAGATATACACAATGATGGTTAAGAGCATCACGGTCAGGACGAGTTGCTTGCCATTGTGGGTCACGGACTGAAGGATGGTGCGCAGGGTCTTGAAACCCACGGCCACATCGAGCAAATGGGCGGCAAAGAAGAAGTTATTGAAGTTGCCCATCACCGAGAAGCTAAAGTACCACAGGGAGTAGAGGAAGGCGTTGTCCGTGAAGGTGACGCCCGCCTTCCACACCTGATAGCGCCAGTCGATGTTCATGATGTACTTGAAGATGCCCGTCTCCTCGCTCTCCTGCGCCGCAAAGGTGCTCTTCTCCATGCCCAGCAGATTGGAGATGGAGTCAAAGTCGTAGGTCTCGCTGTACTTTTGCCGCACCTTCTTCTTGACGAACTTATCCCAATAGTTGACGGGGAAACTCTTGGCCGAGATCACCAGTTTGTCCCAGTGCGACTTGAAGTCGTCATCCTCCGGCTGCTCCGCGATGAACAATCCCTCGAATTCCAGCCGGCGAGCGATCTCCTTCTCGCGCTTGAAGATGGCCAGTGGCACTTTGAGATGGTAGTAGGCAATCAGCATGGCCAGGGAGACGAGTGAATGGAGGCACGCGGCAATGCGCAGCACGTGCTCCATGTAGAAGAAGTCCTCGTCCACGTGCACCAGTTCCGGTATCTCGTCCTCCATTTCGCCATCGCCCGAGGCGCCGTCTCCTGATCCGCCAAAGCCAGAACCAATTTCCGCACCCGCTCCCGAGCCGGAGCCCAGGATGAGCTCCTCCTCGCCGGAGCTGTCCGATTCCTCGGTGAACGAGGTGACCTTGTAGAAGAGCAGCATAAAGTTGATGCTGAAGGCCAGCACCAGGGCCACGTACTTGAGGTTGTAGAAGTTCCGGGCCAGGAAGCTGACCGCGCGATGGGTGTACTGCGAGAAGTCGATCTGGTGGACGGCGGGCGTTTCCTGCGGGCGCCGACGATGACTTCTTGGCCTCCGCCTCGATGGAGGCCATGGCCGCCTCCTGTGCCTTTTGCGCCTCCTGTCGCTCCTGCGCCGCCTTCTTGGCTGCCTCTCCGCCCAGGAGATCCACAATAGAGATGGGGGGCTCCTGGTGTGGTTCACCCTCGAGCAATTCCCCGGTGGCGGCAGCCCCATCCTCGGGACTCGATTCGCCACCCTCCTCCATCGAAGATCCCGCCGGAGACTCGTGCACCACCACCTTGTACATGCCGTTCTCCTCCTTGTTGATGTCCAGGCCAAAGGCTTGCACCGTTCCCGGCGGCTCCTCCAGCGGCAGCGGCGGCAGTGCCCGGCCAAACGTCTCCTCCTCCACCACCGGCTCCTCCTCCTGCTCCGGGGCAGGTCCTCGCATCAGGTTCAGCAGGATGCCGAAGATGTAGCGCACCACGCAGTAGTGCGCATATCCGGTGTAGTAGAAAATGTAGAAGATGATCTTGAAGAAGCCCACAATGAGTTCTGGGATGGATTTGGTCTGCATCACGCCGATCTGGTGCTTGATGCTCGCCGGACTGAGCATGTGGACCCCGAACTTGAGTCCCTCCTTGACGGCGGTGATGGTGCGACGGATGGGATCTCGGGCGGCACGCTCCTCCTCCTCCTCGCTCATGTAGGAACTGTAGGCGGTGTCCCGCTTTACGTTGCCGCCACCGTCATCGGTGGCCATCAGTCCGGAGGCGTGGGTCATCTCAAAGATGGCGTCCTCGCAGAAGTTGACAAAGGCCTCCAGCTTCTCCTTGTCACCGCCCTCGGTGACGATCGAATAGAAGAAGGCACGCTTGGACTCGCGGATCTGTGGCTTCTCCCACTGCTCAATGTTCGAGTCCTTGATCTCGAAGTACACGCGCTCGATGCGCTTGGAGCTGCCCAGGATCTCGATGCGGCCCAGGAAGGGCTCGAAGTAGTTCAGCACCGAGCCGGCGGTCTCCAGGAAGCGCGCCAAGCGCGGTTCGTTCGGCATGTGCTCGCTGAGGTTGGTCAGCAGCACGGCCAGGTTGAAACCGATCTCCTTTGATGGTTCGTGGAAGTGCTCCACGAAGGCCCGGTAGTCGATCTTGCCCTCGTGGTTGCGCTCGCAGCAGGCCAAAAGGAAATCCATTTCTTCCCTGTAAGGATCAGTATTATAATCTCTAAATAGTAATCACCTAGCCACCACTTACGGTGTGTAGTTCTTGGACTGCTCCATCTTCTCCCTAAAGTCCTTGGGTGTCACCCAACCCTCGTTCTTCATGTCCACCTCGTGGAAACTGGGCGATTCGATAAGGTCGGCCAGTTTGAGGAACATGTCGAAGTACTTGAGGATCAGCTCCACATTGCTGGCGGACTCCACCAGCGTGTCCACCATCTGTTTGCCAATGGTGCCTGGTAAAGGGAATAAAAATATACGTTAGACAACCAACTTTTTTTTTTTTTTTTTTTTTTTAAGAAGTTAAATCCCCTTACCATTTACAACATTTCCTTCCAGCATGGACAGCATCATGGTGATCATGTCCTTCTGCAGATTCAGCAGCTCCTTGAGCAGATCCACCTGGCTGGAGTGCTTCGACAGCTTGTCCTGCATGTGGGAGAACAGGAAGAGGAAGCCACCGACTGCATCCCACAACCGAGAGTGGGCCAAGGCCTGCTGATTGAGGGTACAGGGACCCTGGATGACCTCGGTGAGGGTGTTGAATACTTGGCTAGCCACTTCGATGGCCTTGAAGAAGTTCGCCTTGCCGGCGGGATCGATGATCTCCTTGCTCGAATAGTGCCAATAAAAGTCCATGATGGACTCCTGCAGACGCAGCAGATAGTCCACAGTGCAGATGACCACGTTTACGGTGGTGGTGTTACCGGCCTGGGTCCTCAAATAGTTTTGCCATTCTGTAATGGAATGGTGGGTCATTCGAGTAACCCCAATTAAACCCAATCTGTAACCTACCCAAATTGTGGCCCTCACAGGTCAGCTGGATGAACCGGAACAGCGCACAGGTGAACTCCGCGTCGTGCATGTTCTTCTCGCCCGCGGCGCCCTCGGAACCTACACCAAGACCTGCACCCGCACTCGGAATATACTCTTTGTTCGTGTGGCAAATTTGGGTGGATTGGTACAACGATAGCGGGAATCACGTACACGGGATTGGTGGATTGTGGTTGGTGGTTGGTGGTAATGGCATGCGAGGCATGGTGGGTGATTGGGAAATCAGTTGGAAGGAAGTAGACACAAATCAATACGGTAATCAAACTTAGAAGAGTGCGAACCAAAGTTAACGGGGGCCAGGCAACTGAAAGCTGGAGGAGATCGGCGGTCGGGATCGCGGGGCGAATGGACTTACCCTCTGCTTTGGTGTTTCGCTCGAAGGCGTCTAGATCCAGAACACTGCAGGAGTTCATGAGTCCGGCAATCGAGGTAAAGAATCCGACATCCTTCTTCTCCTTCAAGTGGTTCAGCATGCCCATTTGGATGTCGATGTTGCCTCCGCGCAGAATGGCGATGCCGAGAT